CAATGGAGTTCAATAAAGGTTGATCTTATCTTATCTTAAGGCCCATTCAGGTATACAAAAGGTGTGATGCACCTAATCAAATAATAATCATTGAAATCCCAGTTCGTGTGGTCGGTTGAGGGAGTGTGCTTTAAACCAACTGAATAAACCAAAGTACCATGCAACATGCCCCTGACTCTTTTACTACTCCCTGATCAGACCGGTGTACACTGCTACAGGAGCAATCAAAAGTTCTTTAAATGAGCCAACACCTAAGGGATTATTGGTTTTTAATTTAAACCATTCATTCTCAACTCTCAAACTGTGGTACGAGTACCACTGGTGATATGCGGGATCCCCTCTTGTGGTACGCTGGGAGTCTCTTATATGGGAGTCTCTGATTTTTAAATATTTTCAATAAAGATGTACAAATCAAATGGTTGACAAACAAAGCTCTGATGGCAAGCGGAGGAAGCAAATGTGATGGTCAAATTATTTTGCATTTGTGGCTCCAAACGGGAAATATTACAAAGAAAGTCAAGCAGAAACTGAAGTCAACGACAGTGAATGCAGCACAAGTGCAAGAGGCAACATTAGCAGACCAGTGACGATTCAGCACGCACTAACAACAAATGACGCAAAACAGTAAGAAGATATGACTCGAGTCACATCCAGACTGGATTCTTTTGGATCTGCACAGAGCGTTAACCCAGGCCGCAGTGCCTGGTGTGTGGTCACTAATAATTAATATGCATATCAGGAACAAAATGGCCTCCTGGGTGAACTGTAGATGTAGTGAAATAGCCCTACACTTCTGTATTGTTGTCATGGCGCCGCGCTAGTGGCAGCCTGTTTCAGCAGCTCCGGTTTTGTCTTGCGTTTTAAGTGTTTTTAAAGTGTTTTGTTACGTGTCAAGTCACCTGTCGTAGCCTATGAGATAGTCAAGATGGACATTAAGTGGCTTAGTCGAGTTTTATTAGTTTTTACCGTTTTTATATATTTTTCCGTGTCGGGACAGTATGCCAACGCATACTAACGGTATCGTTTACACGCACGATCAGCTGTTAGCGCTCTCCAAACTACCTTTGACGGGAACGAGACACCAAATCCCAGAGGAGCTAAGGAGAAGACGCCAAGGATGAAGAGCCGGTGTTATAAGGAGAGCAAGGAGGAGAAGGTTCTAGCCCTGCATCCCCTCGATTGTCATGGGGAATGTGAGGTCGCTGGTGAACAAGGTGGACGAACTCGGAGCACTCATAAGATCACAGCGTGAATACTGAGAATGCAGTTTAATGTGTTTCACTGAGACATGGATATAGGAGAATATTCCGGATGCAAACACAACAATGAATGGATTTATGACTGTACGGGCTGACCGGGATCACAGGCTTAGCGGTAAGAAGAGAGGAGGGGGCTTGCTCTGCTTGTGAATAAGCGATGGTGTCATCCTTCTCACATTAATGTAAAGGAGTGCATCTGTGGCACCCTGGGTATTTTAGTAGCTAAGACTATGCCTGTGATTATTGGTTATCAGTTATATTATTACATTGGTGCCCCCCCTACTATTATTTTTCTGGTTAAATGTCATTAAGATCATTTGTGTGGCTTAAAATAGGAGGGATTCACCTGCTTAGGCTGTAAGTACCTGCAGGGCAATATTCATTGTGGCCAGTAGGTGTCAGTAGCAGCATTGAATGTCAACAACTGGCGCTGTTCCCTGTGTATTGCAGGAAGTAAGCACAGTAGTATCGCATCAGACAGTCTGCAAAGCAGCACTATATGCCGATTCTCATACAAGACTGTCTTTCTGTTGTGTTTGCAGGTAAGAAATAAGTGCACAAGCAGCAAAAACATTCAGTTTAAGTACATCTTCATGTGTTTAGTAATGTTTACATGTTAGAAATGTTGTTTATGTCAGATAACATGAAAGCTAACTAGTGCTAGCATCGGTAGCCTCCTTTGACACATGAAGCGCACTAGCTATGTTAAGCAGGCATGACTGTATTCGTACACAGGTTTAATGTTTATAAGATACCATATGCATTGTTGGTTCACAGAAATAGATATTTGTGAAGACAAAACTATACATTTAATTTGCTGTCAAGTGTTTGTTACGTTTGGAGACTGATAGCAAAGTTACATTGTTTAGTCAGTAATTTGTAGCTGTTCCCTGTGTATTGCAGGAAGTAAGCACAGTTGTATCACATCAGACAGTCTGCAAAGCAGCACTATATGCCGATCCTCATACAAGACTGTCTTTCTGTTGTGTTTGCAGTTACGAATGCTGTAAATAAAAACACCTTTCTTATGGAACCCACATTGTCATAATTCAGTGTACGTAACACATCTGCACCCCTAACATCGAACTGTTAGCCGTTAGTCTGCGTCCATACTATCTCCCGAGCGAATTTACCTGTGCTGTTGTCATATTTGTTTACTTACCGCCGTCAGCTGATGCCAACACAGCATGTGACGTCATCAACTCAGTCTCTGCTAAAATACTCACACAACATCCAAATGCCTTCATTGCAATCTCTGGGGATTTTAATCATGCCTCTCTCTCTACAACCCTCCCAACTTTTCACCAATTTGTCATGTGCCCTACCAGAGACAATAAAACACTTGATTTACTGTATGCAAACATACAGGATGCATACAGATCCACAGCTCTCCCTCCCCTTGGTAGGTCAGACCATAACCTGGTTCTGCTTAGTCCCACCTACACACCCATTGTTCAGCGGCAACCGGTAACCACGAGGACAGTCAGGAGGTGCTTTCAGGAAACCGATGAGCTCCTGCAAGGGTGTTTTGAGGCTACAGACTGGGATGTGCTCTGCAAACCCCATGGGAATAACACTGACTCCATGACGGCCTGTATAACTGACTACATCTCCTTCTGTGTCAATAATGTGGTACCTACTAGGGAGTGAGGTGCTTTGCAAACAATAAACCCTGGATCACCAGTGATTTAAAATGTCTGCGAAATAAAAAGAAGAAGGCATTCAGGGACTGTGATAGTGAGTTGCTGAAGAGCGTAGAGAGGGAGTTGAGGATGAGGCTGAGAGAAAACAACATAAGGGATGTGTGGCACGGTATGAAAACCATAACCGGCTTCAAGGTGAAAGGAAATCAGGCAGAAGGTAGTCAGGAAAGGGCCAATGAGCTGAACGTGTTCTTCAATTGGCACGAGGCCTTTGGCTACCTCCCCGGCCCCTGATAGCCACACAGACCCTACATCCTCCCCCCTCACAAAGGCCCCCCCCCCTCCCCGCAAGTTACCTTGACGGCACCCACTGCCCCCCCAACATGCTCTGACCCCCACTGTGCCCCACCCCTACCCCACACTTCTCTGGCCTGTCTGTCTGTCTCCAGTAGCCATGTGAGAAAGCAGCTCGAGAGACTCGGCCAGAACAAGGCAGCAGGTCCAGATGGCATCAGCCCCAGGGTTTTGAAAGCCTGCGCAGGTCAGCTATGTGGCATTCTACATTATCTTTTCAACCTCAGAATCAGCCAGGGGAGTGTGCCAGTGCTGTGGAAAACATCCTGCCTTGTTCCAGTCCCCAAGAAACCCTCTCCCTCTGCCCCCAATGACTACAGACCAGTTGCCCTAACATCGCACATCATGAAGGTACTTGGCCCACCTGAGACCACAGGTGACCTGGACCCATTTCAGTTTGCATACTGCCCAAGGGTGGGGGTTGAGGATGCCATCATCTACCTACTCCACAGAGCCCACTCTCACCTAGACAAGTCTGGTAGCACTGTGAGGATTATGTTTTTTGATTTTTCAAGTGCTTTTAACACCATACAGCCAGTACTGCTATGTGAAAAGCTGGAGCTGATGCAGGTAGACACCACCACAACATCATGGATCATGGATTACCTGACTGACAGACCACAGTTTGTGAGGCTGGGGAGGTCTGTGTCCGAGCGAGCGGTCAGTGGCATAGAAGCGCCGCAGGGGACTGTGCTGTCCCCTTTCCTCTTCACACTATACAGACTTCCAGTATAACTCTGAGGCTTGTCACTTACAGAAGTTCTCAGACGATACTGCGGTAGTGGGGTGTATCAGTGGTGGAGAGGAGACAGAATACAGGCAGCTGGTGGATAACTTTGTTGCATAGAGTGGAAAGAACCACCTGGTGTTAAATATAACAAAGACCAAGGAAATGGTGGTGGACTTTAGGAGGGACAGGCCTGAGCTAAGCACCATCTCTATCTTTGGGGATGAGGTGCAGGTGGTGGAGTGCTATAAATACTTGGGGGTGCACATGAACAATAAACTGGACTGAAGCACCACACAGAGGCTGTCTACAAGAAGGGTCAGAGCAGACTTTACTTCTTGAGGAAGCTTAGGTCTTTTAATGTGTGTAGCAAAATGTTAGCCATGCTTTATCAGACTGTTGTGGCAAGTGACATTTTCTTTGCAGCCGTCTGTTGGGGCAGCAGCATCAGGGCTTGTGACTCTAAAAAGCTTAACAAGCTGATTAGGAGGGCTGGCTCTGTGGTGGGGACTGCTGTGGAGCCCCTGGAGGTGGTGATGGGGAGAAGGATGATACAGAAACTGTTGAACATTATGGACATGCATCCCTTACACAATCTTGTGTGTGAACAAAAGAGTGTTTTTAGAGGGAGGCTACGGCAGCTAAGCTGCAAAAAGGACAGATTTAAAAATACTTTTTTACCTACTGCAATTGCACTTTATAACGACTCCCCTTTAAGTAAGGACAGAAGACATTTAAACTTTTAAACTTTAGCCTGAGCTGCATATATCAAACTGTATTTTGCCCCTGTATATTTGCACACTTGACTGCTTTTTTATAATAATAATTTATTTATCTATCATACTATGCACTGGCAGAGCTAGTATTCTGTACTGTTATCTATGAGTATCAGCAACTTATGCACATGGACCATCCATACCACTTTTTTATCCTGGCTATGTATTGTGGGCTCATGTTTTTTGTATGGGTGGGATATGTATGTATATATGTGTTGTGTTGTGTGTTTGTATATCTGCTGGCTGCTGGAACACCTACATTTCCCTGCTGGGATGAATAAAGTATATCTTATCATATCTTATCTTATTTCAATGTTTGCAGTAATGGTGCTACTTGGAGAGCTTAATATTTTCTGTGGTGGTACTCACTGTGAAAAGTTTGAGAATCACTGATTTAAAGTATTTATCACCGGACAATTTGTGATATTTCTGTTGTCTATTCTACCTAGATCTAATACATTTCAAAATCCATGTTTTCTTCCTTTTATAAAAGTACTGTTTAACTGGATACTTCCAATATGTAATCATATAAACTATTGCATGTTTATAAATACTATTTTATGATTAAGGTTTCCTTCATTAAAAATGTGAGGTGCAATCAATGAGCAACAACCCTTTATAAGATTCCAGTCTGTATTTAAAATTTGCAGTCAAATTAAACAATATACAAACACAATAAAAATCCAATTTAAAGATTTCCAACGTTACAGATTGTGTATGCCATGTTTCAAAAGGTTTCTATAATTCTGACGATTTTAAAATAGTGGAGTTAGCAGGAGTCGGTGATGCGTCTGATAGAGCTGAATCTGGATCCGTCGTAGCCCATCTCCCTGAAGCTCCTGTACTCTCCGGGCCTCAGGTACATCATCCTGCCTCTGAAGTGGGGCTGCTCGTACATCAGCCACTGGCCGTCCATCACGTTGCAGGACTGGCAGTCGGACATGCGGTGACGCTCTTGGATGTTGTCGCAGTCCTCCATCAACTCGGTCATCTGACCGCCAAAGTTCTCCATCTCGTAGATCCTTATTTTGTAGGAGCCTTTGTGCTGTTAAAGACGATACAAATACAAAGTAATGAACCATTTAGATTGGAATTATGCTACAGTTAGATGTTACACATTCTTTTTCTTAATGCCATACCGTGGGGATCATACGACAGGACCTAATGCAGTCTCCAAAACCCATCATCCGCTGGTAGTCAGAGTACTCGCCCCTCTTAATTAAGTACTGGTTCCCTGTGTAGTTGGGGCGGTCGTATACCATGAAGCAGCCGCTCTCCACCTTGCAGGAGTGGCACCTGCTCAGGTGGGAGGACATGTCGGCGCAGTCGCTGCTGGTCTCATAGGAGCGACCCTGGAAGTTCCTGTCCTCGTAGAAGATGATCTGGAAACCCAAAGATCAGCCAATAGATGGTAAAACAACTCTAAAGTCTGATGTGATTAGCTTTCAAAATTAGCCTTCTGATAGTACCCAAAAGATGCACCCATAAAGCCATTCTTTGGACCATAAAACATTTTTGGTAAAACGAACTGCATCTATGCAAACATCATTACAGTATATCACGGACCTACCTTTCCATGCATAGTTGCTGATAGATTGAGCGATGCTATAGCATTCCTATCCTGAATTTAAGCCTTTTTTATACCTAACGGGACATCCAAACAATCAATGGCACCATTGTGTGAAATCAATGAGTCAGCATGAGCATGCAATGTCAGTCCCTCAGTGTGTGAATGCTGATGGGAAAGTGTTATTATGCATCCTCTCGCAGGCTCTATTGTTCCTGATCAAAAGGCTTCTGTATATGTCTATTATTTTTTTGATTACTTGTGCTGTTATCCAGATGATTGACCTCTTTGTGGTTTCGTTGATAGAAATGTCTTAATCGACTCCAGTTGGCATTTTGAATCTTCATTTTGGTAAATGTCTTTGGAATTACATTTTAAAACGGCAAAGAGCTTTACACATAAAAGTCCAACAAGTCAAATTTAATGATCCGAGGTGCTGAAACAAATGTTCATGCTGATGAAGGGTGCATGGATTGCACAACTGCAGCAGTCACTTTGATTCTCACTATTTGTCTTCCCTCACTTTGAGGAATTGCTAACACAGAATAGAGATGTTGTCAAGCAGTGAAAAGAAACAGATGGAAACTTCTGATTTGAACTTGTACATAATCCAATGAGGAGGCAGAACATGAAGATCCAGGGTATGACTCCCCTTTGTCAATCAATCATTATTTGTATAGCGCCAATTCATAACAAGTGTGATCTCGAGACGCTTTACAAAAGAGCATATGATATAATAAGCAGGAAGGATTTCTCCTTTGAATTCCTTGCGTTCCTGTTGTCCACACTTCCTTGCCGCTGAGATGGAGGTCGGAGAAGGCCGTGCATGAATGAGGACGGCGATGGTTGTGGGGAGGACACAGTCCGATGGTGGTGGCTGGGCGTCAGGCGGTGGTTGTGAGGACGATACGGTCCGATGATTGCAGCTGGGCGTCAGGCGGTGGTTGTGGGGATGACACAGTCCAATGGTGGTGGCTGGGCGTCAGGCAGTGGTTGTGGGGACGACACAGTCCGATGGTGGTGGCTGGGCGTCAGGGATGTCGTGTTGAATTAGTGCCAGATGACCTCGCTGAAGGTTGGGAGGTTGTTCTAGCAGAGATCTCCTTAAGGTATAGATTAAGTTAAGGTGAAGATCTCCTCATTGGCAGGGTATCCTTCAGGCTCTAGAGAATCTTGGACTGTCTTGACTGACAACTTGACGACTCTTCAGTGTTGCATTAAGGGCCCAGTTATTGCAAAGTGGTAAATGAGGTGGATGGTTTCCATATCAAGGTACTACTGCTGGGGTATCATTCTATTAAGGGTGGTTCCACATTTGAGACCAGGGCCTGGATCCAAGTACACTTGACCCAGATGACTGGTTCATTTGATCAGTCTGAACACAAACATACTGTACTCAGGTGACCTAGTCCAATTAAAGAGGTGGTCTCGGGGAAGATTCATGTGTACTGGAGTACGGTCTGTGGGAGATGTGAACGCAACCATTTTCAAACAAATGAGAAGCACGCTATCTGACAAATTTCTAAACTGCTCCTGTCGCTTTAAAACCACTCATATCTGCACAGCACGGGTAATTTCATCCTCTGAGCTGAATGAACGATGTGGAAGTAAGAAGAGGGTCATTGTTGGCATCTCAGAAATAACAAAAACATCCACAGTTAGCAGGACGGACTCAGCCTGCGAGTGGTTGCCTCTTCTTCTTTTTGCTTCTTGGCGAATTAGCAAACCAAATTATGTGCATACTGCCACCTGCTGTATAGGACTGTATACATACACAAGCGTACTCGGGCACAAAATGATGTTACTAATGTGAATGAAGACCAGCGGGGGATGGGGAGGGTGGAGCTATCATGCTTGGGCACAGCAAGTAACAGTCACCCATTATGTGAAACGCCCTTATCCTCTGGGAATGATTATTCCAAACCAGAAAAGGCTGGTTAAGGCTAATCGTGAACCCAAGATACAAAATATACAATGCATATTCCATCCTTGCCATGGAGCAGTGGAGCAATGCTGATCCAGTCTAAGTTTGTTTTTGTGGTCTTGGAGAAGCCATACAACCCCCGAGGTTCCACTCGTGGGCATTCCATGAGAATGTAATACTTGCCAATTGCTTTGAGCCATCCTTGTAAAATCAAAGCCATCCAACATTGTAACACTATGGGTTAGTTTTTAAATGGGGATCAGCATAATACCGTAAATCCTCAAATAATAACCAGGGCCTTTATTTAACTAAACTGCAGAAAGTACCAGGCCTTTATATGAAGGAGGCTTTTTATTAGAGGCAGGGCATAATTTCAAACTCTCTCTGTCTGAGTTTAACTGTTCATATTTTAGTGAATGTGTTGGTTGTGGTGGATCAATCATATTGGGCTCTAAGTTCCTTTATTTTCTGTGCCCTCAGATTGGACTTGAGATGTTATGAAAGCTCAAAAGATGTGTGCAAGGTTTAGAGCACACTGTGTTGACTTCCCTGACTGACTAAGTTTCTCATGTTGTGTTTCTGATTCTCTCCGTTTGCTGAATCCTCAGGGTGTATATGTTCACATCCCTGGTCTGAGTAAAGTATTTGATCGGCCGCGTCGTAACACCTGTGACCTGTGTGGTGACTGTGTGAATGCAGAGACCCTGTCCTCTGACTGGATTTTACTGTTTTGGTTTGTTTTGGTTGACTCGGGACATTTTTGGGCGGGGAGCTGGTCCAGCCAATGACAGCACACAGGTGACTTAGGGTGTGGATACAATACAGTATCTGGATGCAATTTAAACCAGCAATTATGATGAACACATATGTAGCAGCAGAGAAAAGAAAATATCATCATAGTGAGGTGAGACACCAAAGCTCATTCTAAAACGAGGGTGAACCTTGTGTTGGCTTTTACCGTGGAGTTGGTCTGCTTCCTGTTGGACAGGCAGGTAACAAACACCGGGGGTTAGCTTGTGCTAGCGTGCGTAAGCTTGCAGTGTAGGTACAAGCAGTAAATGTACACACTATGTCCCGCAGGGAGTGTGAGCTTAATGGGGTGATGAGCCCAGGAGGAGGAGCCAGTTTGAATATTGTGTTTACAAGCTGCAATGAAAAATGCTTCGGACTCCACCTTTAAGTTGGAGTTAGTTTTAAGTATATGTTTGATTTTAAATCAAATATCAAAATTTTTACGATGTCATGTTATAATGTTTATCATTTACAACCTATAGTTTCTATTGGGTTGTATATTTCCTTCATCAGATATTTAAGCATTGAAAAAAGAGAAAAAGCCAATAACATAAAAATGTAACAAGCTCAAGATTGTTGTTTTATCTTTTATTTTTTATTTCAAAATAAAAGTATTTAACACATATCCATGATGCGCCTCATGCTCATGAACCTGGTGCCGCTCATGCCCATGTCCCTGAAGCTCCTGTACTCTCCGGGCCTCATGTACATCATCCTGCCTCTGAAGTGGGGCTGCTCGTACATCAGCCAGTGGCCGTCCATCACGTTGCAGGACTGGCATTCGGACATGCGGTAACGCTCCTGGATGTTGTCACAGTCGTCCATCAGCTCGTTCATCTGACCACCGAAGTTCTCCCTCTCGTAGATCCTCATCCTGAACTGACCTCTGTGCTGTAGTTTGAGAGAGGATAGAAAGAGAATATATTAAGGTTTAACAACTGTTCTTGTCTTTTAGTAGAATATTATGGATGAAGCTGTTTTGGACGTACCATGGGGATCATACGGCAGGACCTGATACCACTGCTCATTCCCATCATGCTCATGTAGTCGGCGTACTCGCCCCTCCTCATGAAGAACTGATTTCCCATGAAGTTGGGGCGCTCGTAAACCATGAAGCAGCCGCTCTCCACCCTGCAGGACTGGCACCTGCTCAGGTAGGAGGACATGTCAGGGCAGTCGCTCATGCACTCATAGGAGCGACCCTGGAAGTTCCTGTCCTCGTAGAAGATGATCTGGAAAATAGGACATTTTGTTGAGACTTACAGTTCAAGCATTGTCATTATTTGGTCTATGAATTCGACAGTGGTGAAATGTCTTATTTGTGTTTAAGTGAGGCTGTAGCTTACCTTGCCCATGCTCATGTCTGTGGTGGTCATGCTTGTAGGTGAGCTGTTGCTGCTGCTGTACTGCTGCACTGCTGTCCTGTTTGGTTTAACCCCTGCTTTTATATGTGCCCAAACCCTACAGAGCTGGTGGGCCCCCATTGTGGAAACCCCTGAGTCAGCAACATGCTATAGAGGAGTATACAGCTCTGTCATATTGTTGTGTCATATTGTCAGATGACTGGCCCCTCGAAGACCTTAGAATTTGTTCCCTGTTGAAAAGATAAACAAAGCTTTTTTTCTGTTTCGAGGCACATTTTCGAAGAGTCGATCTAAAGTTACAAAACTGAATCTCACTGAGTGATAAATGTTAGTGTCACAGCGGTAGAAGAGGAGAATGCTGCTTCATGATTTTATATTTTTATATCACATCTCATGTTAGGGAAGTTAAGTGCATCAAAGTTGATCTTTTATACACTAAATATAGTAATTGGGATATTTTGTGTAAATTTTCTTTTTTGGGCACACGAAACAAATTCATGTGGAGACTAAATAAACAAAGTAAAAGACAAAAATGCATCCAATAAAATCAATTTGAAAACAAATGTTGGAATATGTGATTTAGCACCGTTAGAACATACACAATGTACATTTATATATTACACTCAACATTGTATTTATAGAGTTCAGGTTTTGGCATTATTGGGGCGTTGTTATTGGCCTATCATGGACTTCTTCTCTAACAGAGATAATCCCTCAGTGGATTGTAGCGTATCTGCTTTTAATATTTAAATTTATATAACTCGGGGCACCATCCTTGTTAAGTAAGGAAACTAATATTACTTGTAGTAATTAATGAATCTATAAATCTGTCTCATATCATTGGGATGAATTCTCAAGCAGTAAAAACCATAAAATTACACAGACAAAGTACTGAAAGTTTATATGAAAGTTTTGCGACCAGTTGACTGGCAGCG